ATTTTTAAGGCTTATGGGATTACAATAGCTCCTTCATGCACAAAACAACCAGCACACAGTTATATTGTTCATCTAAGTTTGGTCTATAATAGATGCTGTACATCTTTCCCGGTCTTTCCGTAAGCTATACAACGCACACGTCCTTTAGTTGCCCTTTAGAGTACATCAGGTAAAAAAGGGGGGATTGAGTTGTAACAATAGGGCCTGTTGTCCAACAATTGGAGTACCTTTTTAGTTTAGTGTCTTAAATTGGTGATAAGGTTTGGGGGAGACTTGCAATGCTCACCTATCAATTTGCCCAGTTTTTTAGTCTCAGAATGTACTGACTAAGAATTCGTCAACACCGATAATTACCCAAAATAATGCCAATCTATTCAAGTTTTTCAAGCAGATGGTTTTAGCACGGCCAAGGTGTAGTATATGGGTTATGTGGATACTTCTGATACCTTTGGCTACTACCGGTAGACGTCAAAGGTCACACTCTTGTTCTTGTCATTAATCCTCTAGATCCCACAAGAGCCAGGTGCCCGAGACCCTCAATATATGTGAGGCTGTTAAAATCGCCATTATTACGATTGGTGATTCCAGGAAAGGTTGATTATCTTCTTAATTGCATATTTTACTCTGATGGGCATCGCCACTTCATTCTAACATCGTACTAAGACATTAAGTGCTGACTTATAAAACCTTCATCAATACATTTAATGGCAGTTTTGTTGCTTATCGTCCGGTGAAATCTTCACTAACTATTCTCGAATTCTTCGCAAAATTTCACGAAGGTTGATATTAAATTTCAACGCGGCGTAGAAGCCAAACATCCGGGTAACAAAAGGTTTGCGAGCAAACCGTTTCGTCAGAATTGGATTATGCTAACATGGGTCGTGAAAGAGAGTATTCGAATCCCTAAAACCTTGAGAGGGAAGTTACCCAGATTGATCATCCCTTTTGATTTATCTGCTGAAATCTTCACTAGCGTTATTAGCGAAACAATTGACCGGATGTGAATACTATCCAGCATGAAACGCCTGAGATGGTTTATATAATTATTAAATAATAATCAATATATCGTATGTGCAAGTTTAAGGTTTTCTCGCACTTCACAAAAGCAACTATTTAAAGGAATATCCAATCTACTTTAGGTATGGGATTAAGGGTGAGATAATTACGGCATCTTCACATTACTAATCTGGAGAAACAGGAGTGAGAACAAAGCTTATCAAAAGATAAAGATAGATTAAAGTTTATTCAAAAAGATATTATCTCTAATGCAAGATTTCTAGTAACCAAAACGAGACATGGGAGTTCCAAATTGTGCAGTATATTTTGACATAGCCCTAAGACTCAAACTCATGACCCTTTTTGGATAGCTGGCTTTGTAAATTGGGATCAACCTCCAATTCTGCTATCCTCAACGAGATAGCTTTGTTTAAAAAGGTTGGAACTATATGCCAAGGGAATCCTATAAGCTTTAATCTTATTTTTAATCGTACTTACTAAGATTTTCACCCATTCTGGTTTTATTTTGCCCTATAATGGTGATTGGAGATACGTGAAACATCTTATAATCTTGAGCAGTACTTATATTGATTAGGAGTCTTGAAGATTGAAGTCAAACAATAATGAACAATCGGTTCACAGTAACTCTACTTTTTGTTTTTCAGCTTCTTTGTGCTGCAGCCACTGCTGATACCATCGGGGGATGTAGTCCCCAATCTGTTTCTAAAGGTCTATACGCCGAATATATCAAGACCACTCTTAAAGAATATGGTGTTTGGAATAAGACTGAAGCTACTACTGGGCTTTCTGCACTTGACAAAAGCGAGGCAGAGTACTCCTGGGGGGGAATAACCAATCAAAATTTCAACATCGTTGGTCTGGCTGATGGTACAGCTACAGATGGTGACCTATATGGAAATACGGTTAACATAGAGTACTTTGGTTTGAGACTTTCAGGATACTTTTATGCCAGTACAACCGGAGACTACACTTTCGACATAGACTATGTTGACGATGCTGCATCTATCACACTCGGAGCAGGAGTTGCAATGGATTGTTGTGGACTGGAGCTCACAGGAAATGTTGAAGAAAATGCTTACATCTATGCAGTAAAAAAGAGCACAACTGTAAGGAAGACCGTTACTCTTACAGCAGGAGTCTATTATCCGATTAAAGTGGTCTACTACCAAGCAAATGCCTATGCTGAGTTTGAAATGTCCGTACTCTATCCTGATGGAACAAATCATACAACTGACATTGACTGGTACAGCTCCACGGACAACAGTACATCTTGTCCTTATTCTACAACTACCACAGTTATATGGACAGGAACAGATACTGAGACCATCACAAAAACAGCCTCTGATGGGGATGTATTCGTTACTGTTGAAATACCAGAATCTACCACGACTACTACTGAGGTGTGGACAGGTTCGGTACCTACTACCATTACCATCT